CAAAGAATTGTGGGTTATCTGTAGCAGCGAAGGATACACCTCATGCATCCTCCGAATTCCTGTGAAAGAAGGTCGCATTCGGAGTGTCCTACTTGCTTTTCTGAAATGAGACAGCCTCGATGACGTATGCAGCCTTCGAATGCGACCTCCGGAGGACGCAGCCTTCTAAATGAGACACAGCAATAGTGTCATTGCGGTTTGGGCGTCCTGAGTTTGAATCCCGGCTCGTGAACCTTTCCCGATCCCACCCCCTCTCTCACTCCCACTTCGTTTTCTGCCACTACACTGTCCTATCTAAATAAAGGCAAAAACGCCAAAAACATATCTTAAGAAAAAAAAATAGTCCGTGCGAAATTAGTGGTTCAACCTTAATTTTATGAAGCTACGACAATACTTTTGTGCACATTCTGCACAAAGAAAACAAAACCATTTTATTCAACAATTTCTTTTTTCTTCCTGCGTTGAATAAAGTCATTATTTTTGTTTTCTTTGCACACAAAAAGTATTCTCGTAGCTCCATAAAATTAAAGGGGTTATGGACTGCCTCTGTTTTTTTATTTTGTACTGTTCTCTAAGGTCCACTTATAATGTTATCAAGATTTTTACATCAAAAAACACCATCATTTAGAAGTAATAAGCTATTTTCGGTCCTGTTTTTGAACACGCTCATCTGAACGCTCTGTTTTTAATAGGTGTGGCATGATGTAGACTCGGAAGTAAACGCCCACTGCTATAATTGGTTAACACTTGTGTATGTTTGACAGCCTATCTCCTTCACAGACAGACGCTGTTGTGCTTTAGGTTAAAACCGCATAAATACTCATATTTACACTGAATCGTTCCCTATCCCCTATAGAGTGCACTAAGTGCCATTCACCGTACAGAAAATACTAATTCTGTGAACAAGTGACCGATTTCAGCCACGGCTTCAGCATCTATTTATAGTGTAGGGGGCGGGACGCTTCAGAGCTGTTGTGCTTTAGGTTAAAACCGCATAAATACTCATATTTACACTGAATCGTTCCCTATCCCCTATAGAGTGCACTAAGTGCCATTCACCGTACAGAAAATACTAATTCTGTGAACAAGTGACCGATTTCAGCCACGGCTTCAGCATCTATTTATAGTGTAGGGGGCGGGACGCTTCAGATTCTAGAGAGCATTTGATTGGACAGAAAGTTTGATGAGAAGTTGAAGTACAGGGTAATGTCATCAAAATCGTTGATCCATATTGGCAGAAGTGAGAGACCGTAAGTTTTGAATGCTTATATCTTATAAATGTGAATTTTGTCATTGTTTTGGAGCACACTAGTTTATAGATAACCTTAAGGCTTACATATTCATACTAAAAGCCAAAAAACTTCATTTTTTATCGACTAACAAAGTGTTCCAATACAAGGGATCTTGTGCGTGAGCTAACACTTAAACTCACTTCATAAACAGATATCAAAATTCTGATATTAGAATAGAACTACATGTTGTCTAGGTAGCAAAACATCTATGGTAACATCCTAAACTCTAAAATGACAGCTTTACAGTTCAAATATGACAAGTTTTGACAAAAACAACAAGTGTTATAAAATGATAAACATCACATTTCTGACTAATATGATTATGTATGTTATATATAATTGGTCTGCGTTTTCATTCAATCTGTCTGCTTTTTTTGTTCAAGTTCATTGCATAATATCAAAACTGAGATCAAGAATGTAATAAAAGTTACTTCATTCTGAATCTCATTGGATACTCATAAACATTTTGAGAAGATAGCGGTGGGAATGCTCAACAACTGTTCAAGCTTTAAATAACCACAATCGCCCACTGCTTTAGCTATGTAATGGGGTCTGATTACATAAAAGGAAAGGGGGGCTATGGGTAAGATCCACAAAGCAGACTGTTGTGTTGTCAGAGAGGGGACACTGGCTAACGTTTAAATGGCTTGCTGAGATACGTTACCATCGCCAGAATTTCTGTGAGAATGCAATTCCAGTGGAGAGGAATTTGTCACACCTGTGTTAACTTCTCATGAGGACTGACTTGAATGCCAAATACACAGTCAATTTAAGGTACTTAATTTGGAGGTAGAAAAGCTCAGCAAACATGCCATTCGATAAAATGGAATAATGAGCTATTGAGTCAAGAGAGCGGAGGTGACAAAAGGTGTGAGAGGTGGAATACAAAAGCATCACTGGCAGATGAACAGACAGTTATTTGTTTCATTTGCTAGTTACTCTTCTCTCATGTAGCTGCAAGAACAGAGCTTTTATCCGAACAAGTCAAATGCCATGTCAACGTCTTTTGTTACAGACTATTAGATCTGTTATTGCAAATAAAACCACATTTCAGAATTTGGAATGTTAATATATGCAAGTCATCTAATTGTGTATTATTCAGATTTTCTCATTCCACTACAGAATACCCTGATGTTCCAGTTACCTTCACACTAACTTAAAGGGTTAGTTCACCCAAAAATGAAAATTAGGCTGTTTTTTACTCCCCCCCGATGCATCCTAGGTGTATATGACTTTCTTCTTTCAGACGAATCCAGTCGGAGTTATATTAAGAATTGTCTTTGATCTTTCAAGCTCTATCGTTGCACTCAGCGGGTGTTGCATTGCTTCAGTCCAAAAGACGTGAAATAAAAATCTCCTTTCCATAAAAAAAAGAGTCTCACACGGCTCCGGGGGGTGAACAAAGGCCTCCTGTAGCGAATCGATGCGTTTTTGTAAGAAAATGATCCATATTCAAAACGTAATAATCACTTTAATCTAGCTTGCGCCAGCAGTTGTACACAGAAGCAGTTCCGGGAGCATGATGTATGAGGTCAGCGTTGCGCATGTGCCGGTGAGTCTCGTGAAAAACAATGTTTGTTTACAGGATCAAAAGAAGCAAAGTTTCCTTAATTTAGAGAAAGATCAAAGACAATTTTTAATATAACTCCGACAGGATTCGTCTGAAAGAAGAAAGTCATATACACCTAGGATGCATCGGGGGTGAGTAAAACACAGCCTAATTTTCATTTTTGGATGAACTAACCCTTTAAAAGAGTTCAACAAGTGATTGGTGTGTGGCTTAATCACACGTGGTGATCAAGATAGCTTGAAAACAATTTTTTTATAATGTTATGTAATATGCACACTAGAATGCACCATCATCTGTCTATAGCTAGATAGATAGATAGATAGATAGATAGATAGATAGACAGACAGACAGACAGATAGACAGATAGATAGATAGATAGATAGATAGATAGATAGATAGATAGATAGATTTAGAAAGGGCTCTATAACAAGTTACACTCACCCTACAGGAAGTCTGATCGTGGCGTCTCCCAAATTCATCTGTCATAAACTAAATCCGCTTTGTATCAACGCAATTTACTCGTACGTCCAGGAGGGGACATTGGAATTCGGTTTCACACGTATTCATACAAGTGTCACCTTTAAAGAAAGAACATGAAAATATACTTCAGCAGAACAAGATAACGTTAAAGAAGAACTTCTCTACAGAAAACACAGCTGACCACAGCACCAAGGTGTCACGGTCATGTAACTTATTCAGAACGACTTCACCATTCACCGCGCTCCTAGATGTTGGCAAGTGTTTGATGTACGCACTTCTGTTCTTAAATATGGGAAAGCATTCAAACGTTTCACTTGTCACAAAAGAGACTACGAACATATATGCAGTATAGTCAACGCAACTGTTACCTTAAAAAAAGGTTCCGAGTCAAAGTAAAGCTAATATCGTCCACCAAAATATAAAACCACTGAAATACTTACGTGGATTCGGCTTCATAGACAGACAGCAGCAGCGGCGCAGCAGGAGCTCAGCTCTATTCTAATCTGTCCACAGTGTCCAGCAGGCAGCGCCGTTCCCGCGGCTTCTCGAGCGCGCGCTCAACGGCAGCCTGAGTCAGGAATTCTGTGCGCGAGAACGCGCCCGAGAGAACGAGCTGCTGCTGGAAGCGCGTGAGCTTTACAGTAAACAACACTGATACAGCGAGACTCTCAATAAATAACTTTCACCACCTAAAGGCGTTTATCTAAAGAACAGTTAACATTAGCGTAACTGTCAAGACGTACATTGTACGTAATTATCAGGAGAAGTCTTATAATATCAATATGGAGCTGCTATGATAACACAAGCTTTTACCATGGTAACCGTGAAGCTGCAACAAAAAATGCCGTCCCTTAAAGGGGTCGTATTATGCTTTTTCACTTTTTCAACTTTAGTTAGTCTGCAATGTTGCTGTTTGAGCATAAAAAAGGTCTGCAAAGTTACAAAGCTCAACGTCCACTCCAAAAGGAGATATTTTATTTAACAGAAATCACATTTAAAAAACTACAACGAACGACTCGTTTGGACTACACCGCAGATTTTCCGGGATTTGTGATGTCACAAATATCGACGAATGGGACGAGACCTGGTTGAGCTGCGCTAGAGAAGACAACGAGTGTTATCGCTATGTCAGAGACATGATAGCTTTCCCAAGGCAGACGAACTTAGAGTGGTTACAATCATCCGGGTTTAAATCGCGCTGCAATATTTACACTGAAGCTCGCAGGCGGCTATGGTAAGGGGCGTGACATTTCCCGACCAGGCGCCGAGCGCTGCCAATCACAACACACACTGGCCCAGCTAACCAATCACAGCACATTTCGTATTTCAGAAGGCGGGCTTTCATTTGATACAGGAACTATTCGAGCCATTCATGCCAGACTGGGGAGAGAGGTGTTGTAATAATGTAAAATATGTGAAAAAGAATCTGTTTTTCGAACAACCTAGTATGAGAGCCTGTTCTAGTACACCCCCAAAACAAAATCAAGACTTTGTAAAAGAGCATAATAGGACCCCTGTCCATTTAAGCAGGATCCGTTGGTCAAAATCTTTGTCAGCTCATGAATAAAATACCCTGCTGTTACACTACAGAAGTGTCAATCTATATAGGACGCATTACAGTTTTCTATTTATTCATAAAGAACTTTGACAAATATTATATAACAAATTGAAGGACAGGACCTCCCTTGTCTGCTGATAAAACACTGCTGAACACTATGAATAATCAAATCCTCAACCACTTTACAACATCTGTCTTCCCAGAATAACAGATGGGTCAATTCTGCTGCACCGTAACCCTAAGAGGGCCTTGTAACACTTTTTAGCAGGTGAACTTTTGTCAAAGTTAATAGACATTTGAAGTACTTTTACATAGAAAATAAGCTACATAAAAAGCTCAAATTTACCTATACAAATTGTTCTGTGTTAATGCTTATTTTAATCAAATGATATTTAAATGTGTAAATCTGTGTGTATGCATATTTATGTATTGCTATTACAGTATACACTGAAATGCCACTACTAATTTCTCAGTTTAAAAAGGCTAATGTGAATTCCCAATTCATTTATTTAAGGATACAGACAGCAGTTTGAACTTTTTTTAATTGGCATTCAAGTGAGTTTAGGACCCGCCTCTGGGAGGTTCAGGAAATAGCACCTCCTGTGTTTGTAAAGCTTTTTGACTGACATGATCACAAAAAAATTCACAGATTCAGCTGTCATAACCAAGAGAGATGACAGAGGACCCAGGAACTGTGGCTGGTAGGTTACTAAACAGCCTATTCAATGTAATTATGCTTCATTTAAAAGTCGTTCCTACTTAATAATATACTTATAGGACATCAGAATCTATTTAAATTGTTTTTGTCACAACGATTATTACGATTTTAAATAATAATTTGTTAAAAAGCAAACTTTTTAAAATACATAAATGGAAAACCCTGCATTATTATAGTTAGATTTTATTATGAAAGTTCACCCAAAAGTGAAAACTGTCATCTTCTGCCAGTTCTGTCATTTACTTACCCTCAGATTGTTCCAAACCTGTTTTAGTTTCTTTCTTCTGTTCAGCACAAAAGCAGATATTTTGAAGAATTTCAACTGAAAAGCTACTGTTTGGTTTCCAACATTCTTTGAAATATCTCATTTCGTTTTCAATGTTAGAAAAAAAAACCTCAGACAGGTTTGGAACAATTTGAGGGTGAGTAAATGATGACAGAATTTTCATTTTTTGTGTGTGTGTGAACTATCGTTTTATACATGAAAGAAGTCATCTAGGTGAACATTTTAACATCTCAAAAGTCGTCAGTTTACAACATGTGAAGAAAACCATGCATAGTCTGACCAGTAGATGTCAGGAGAGCACAAACTAAAATTCAAGTTCCTACTTGGGGTATCATTTTATTTAGTCTACTTTCAAACCTAAAGACACCAATGTTGTTAAGATTTCATAATACACTATAAACATATTATGCATTATATATATATATATTATAAATAGACCTATTATATACTATATAACCTAACAGTGTGTTATTTGTCTGCCCTCCAAGCTACAACAACAGACTACAGTGAGTACTACGACCAATTGGACAAAGACATTGCATCCCCATGCAACAATGACAACACAAAGGCCTTCAGCGAGGTTTTCCTTCCCACCCTGTATAGCATCGTTTTCATTCTTGGCTTCATCGGAAATGGCCTGGTAGTGTGGGTCCTGATCAGATACCGTCAAAAATCCAACATGACAGATGTGTGCCTCTTCAACCTAGCCCTATCTGACCTACTATTTCTTGCGTCACTCCCTTTTTGGGCTCACAGTGCCATGGACGAGTGGATTTTTGGCAAATTCATGTGTCATACCATAACAGGTCTCTTCACGATGGGTCTGTACAGTAGCATCTTCTTCATGGTCCTTATGACACTGGATCGCTACGCTGTCATCGTCCATGCCCATAGTATCTTTTCCAGAAATCGGTCTGCAAAAATGGGTTTGGTTCTGGCCTCATTTGTATGGATTCTCAGTCTGTTTGCATCCCTCCCTAGTATTATTTTTGCCAAAGAGAAAATGGAGGTAAGCAACAAAACATCATGCGGATCTGATTTTCCTGAAGGTACAGCCTGGATGTCATTTACTTATCTTAAGATGAACTTCCTGAGCTTGATTTTTCCTCTGATTATTATGGGCTTTTGCTATTCCCGGATCATCCCTACTCTGCTCAGCATAAAATCACAAAAAAGGCACAAAGTCATTAGACTCATCCTGGCTGTGGTGGCAGTTTATTTCGTCTTCTGGACTCCATACAACTTTGTCATATTTCTTACGTTCCTGCAGAAGCAAAGTTACTTGCTTTCTTGTGAGTGGCATACTAGTTTAAGCCTTGCCATGCAATGGGTGGAAACAATCGCCTTAAGCCACTGTTGCCTTAACCCTATCATCTATGCCTTTGCCGGACAGAAGTTCAGAAGAGCAGTTCTTGTAGTCTTAAAAGAGCAGTTTCCATTGTGCTTCAGCCAGTGTACCACTTTGTCTCGACAGTTATCTGAACGCAGGAGTTCAGTCTTCAGCAAATCTACTGAATATTCCTCCACACAGATTGCATAGAGCAAACTTATTAGAGCGAACTTAAAATGAGTTATTTTCATTCAGAGTAGCTTACTTTTTTCTTTTTCTTTCTTTACTTTAAGTTCCCCTTTTTAATGAATGTATATTGTGTTCTTGAAAGTTGTCTTTGTTCTGTTTTTTTTAACAATTTTGTTAACAATAATGATATATGTTAAGTAGGAGAATGCAGAAGTTGAAGCTGTTGCAAATGTGCTCCTTTTTGTGCATGTATATTGCTCATATTTTAGATAGGCGAATGATACAGATAATTTAGAAATGAATGATTTCATCAGGAATTTGAAATAAACTCACTTTTAGCTTTGCATCAATTTTAGTCACTAGTTAGTTTTTGCATCAGGGTTAAAAATGTTTTCAACTGTGACTTTTTGACATCTTAAAGAAATGCATTTAACGTATATTTTGAATGTTGCTTTTAAGATTTTTAATGTTAAGCGTCATTTAATAAAATATTTGATGGATTAAAGTTCATTGTCCTGGTGGTATGCATTTAAACTAATATGCAGGAAACACATTCATTCCTATATGACATCAAAACTACTCAAATAAAAAAAAATTTTTAAAAATCCTTGAGGTAAAATTCCTTGAAATGCTAGGGAATTATGACGTGTTATAGCAGGTGGGTTTTCGTGAAGCAGTGGTGGGAGGGAGGTATAACTGTTTAAATAGTAGGCTGTCACAAAGAGGAAGAAGACTGACGCATAGCTTTAAACCATGTCTGCGTAAGTGCTTATCTATCTATGAAACACGTGGAGCCAAAGTCTCAAGCATGTTAAGTTCATGGCCATTTTTTAATAATACTATTCTGAGAGACTTTGCTTTATAAAGTCACTTTTTGTGTTTTTGCCTCAACAATCTTCCATTTTCATATGTTTCATCAAAAGAAAGTTTTGAGGTTAAACATTCATTTTAGACAATGGAAATTGGGTTGCACTGTCGTTCTTTGTAATGTTGACAAGGGAAAAATATTGTGGGCAGCCACTTTGAGGGGACTCGATTATTGTGGCAAGGTGCATTACGGTCTTTGTTTTCAATCCTGAGAGTTGCTGCTTGATTGTACTGAATCAGATGAGAGGTTTCTTCTCCTGCTGGATGAGTGCAGATCAGTTTGTAAGATCAACAGCAAGATGATGTTCCAACACCCTCTATCTATCACAACATGTGCTTTACCTCCAAGAAAATGGCAGTGAAGTACAATAAGACTACTCAAAATATAATTAAAAGAGAGACTTAATATGGTACTCAAATGACAACATCATATGCACATGTACACATAAGTAATAAGAATAGCACTTACCTTATTTTAACTCATTAGCAGATGTGGCCATTTTTTATTTGACTGTGCAAGGGCTCCGGCGTCAGTCGTTTTCTGTAATTTTAGCTGTACAATAACAATCTGTTATGCTGCTTGATAATAATTGGTATATATTGATATTTATTTATTTACTGTAATTGTGAGGAAGTAAATATTTGCGTAAATAGTTTTATTGTTACTGCATTATTCTTTTACCAATAGCAACTAATGAATCGGAAGACTTGCAAATTCACAAGAAATCACAAGTTCAACTTGTGTCGCATCAGTCCACAGAATATATGCCCAAAAGTCTTGGGGATAATCAAGATATTTTTTGGCAAATGTGAGACGAGCCTTTGTGTTCTTTTTGGTCAGCAGTGGCTTTTGCCTTGGAACTCTCCCATGGATGCTGTTTTTGCCCAGTCTCTTTCTTATTGTTGAATCATGAACACTGACCTTAATTGAGGCAAGTGAGGCCTGCAGTTCTTTAGATGTTGTTCTGGGTTCTTTAATGACCTCCTGGATGAGTCGTCGTTGCGCTCTTGGAGTAATTTTGGTAGTCTGACCACTCCTGCGAAGGATCACCACTGCTCCAAGTTTTCTCCATTTGTGGATAATGACTCTGACCGTGGTTCGATGGAGTCCCAAATCCTTTGAAATGGCTTTATAACCCTTTCCAGACTGATACATGTCAACTATTTCGTTTCTCATCTGTTCTTGAATTTCTTTAGATCACGGCACGATGTGTTGCTCTTTAAGCATGCTCCACTTTGTCAGACAGGTTCTATTTAAGTGATTTCTTGATTCAACAGGTGTGGCAGTAATCAGGCCTGGGTGTGGCTAATAAAAATTAACTCAGTTTTCTAACATAATGTGGTTAATCACAGTTCCCTTTCGAACGGTCTCTCCCGTTGTGTTAGACACTAAGGGGAAAACAGGAGTTTTCCCCTTAGCGTCTCACGCAACGCTCGTTCCCTTATCTCAGGGAACCGAGGTTACGTTAGTAACCGGAGCGTTATTTCATGATTTAACAGGAGGAGGCAAGTAATTTTTCACGTAGGGCCCAGCTAACAGGGAACGTTCCCAGAACATTCACTAACCTTCTTTAAAAGTTGTCTTGAATACAAATTACCTGAGGTGTAAAACTACCATCTGAAATACATTTTTTAAATTCCTGACCATTTGCTATCAAACTTCTAGCATTCCACTGAAGAATAATTAAGACCATTAAGATCCACCACATGCTGTTTGTGTATTTGAGATCTGAACCTTTAATTTCTCATTTACTTATTCCACCGTTACACCTTCCACATCCAAATATTTCCCAGCTGCCATCAGGATTATTCTGATTCTTTCTGTTCGGCTTTCTGTTTGTGCTGAGCAATTGACGACTTCTGCCATAAATGCAATGAATAACATCTTATCAATCAACATTGTATTGTCATTTACTCTTCTACTGCTTACTTCTTCATCCACTGTAGAGGATTGTTCCACCAGATCTGCTTTTCCTGCACTCGTCTTCAGATTTTTTTGGACACGCTTTAAAGCTTCCACATATGATACTCCTTCAGATACTCTTACATTTTGCGTGTTCACAGCATCCTTTCTAACTTTACATCCTCCATAACCCGCGCTATGGTTTTCTCCACAATTACAACATTTTGGGTTCACTCCATGGCCACACTTTCTGTACTCGTGCTCTCCTCCACATCTAGCACAACGTTGTTTTCCATTGCATACTGCAGCTACGTGACCAAACTTCTGACACTTAAAGCATCTTCCCAGCTAACAGGGAACGTTACCAGAACATTCACTAACGTTCTTTAAAAGTTGTGTAAATGTTAGTACAAAACGTTATTAAAATAATGTTTTTAGAACGTTCTTATAACGTTGTTAATGTTCTTGTAACATCGATAGAACAACGTTATTGGAACGTCTTTAAGACGTTATTTGTACTTAATGAATGTTCTTATAATGTTGATAGAAAACGTTCTTGGAACGTCTTTAGAACGTGATTTGTACTTGATGAATGTTCTTATAATGTTGATAGAAAACGTTCATAGCACAACGTTCTTGGAACGTCTTTAGGACGTTATTTGTACTTGATGAATGTTCTCATAATGTT